ACGCGGCTGGGCTTATTAGCCGTGGGCTTAATAGCCAGCGACTACTGTAGTGGTTGTGGAGCTCTCACCTACGCTGGGGCTCAACCGGGAGCCCCACCAACAGCCGCACGATAACTAGGACATTATAGGTAAAAACTGTCTCCCCAAAATGAAAAAAAGAGACGCTACGAGACAGTAGTCTGGTGTTGTGAAATCTAGCGTTGGATGGTTTAAAGTATAAAAACAAAGTTCTAAACTACCTTGTTGAAGCGAGAGATAAGACCCTGGCGTGTCCATACGCCAGATTCCAAAACCTCCGTAGGCAGACTATCTGTGATGCCCAAGACGAAGTCGTGGATACCCGACCGAGAAGCAGCCTGTTCCACGTCATTAATGAGATCGCGAAGGGGCGCCGTGGTGAAGTAAGGTCTCAGTTCGTTGCGTACTGGTTCCCCAGATGCCCCGATCTTGGAGAAGGGCATCTCCAGAGTGAAGGCCAACGCCTCTACGGCCAACCACAGCGCCTGGGTCTCCTTAGCGACGCGATCAATGTCCGCACGGCCGTCGACAACCTGCTCGATGGCCTCCATGCGCTTGATCCACTTGTGCAGTTCGCCTTCGAGGGTCTGCTTTTGTTCTGTCAAGGCCTCTCGCAGACGGTAGTCAAACTGATGCTCCATCTCCTCCTGTTTAAGACGCAGCATCTGTAAGAAATGGTGACCATGTCGGGCTAATGCCAAGCTGAGTTCTTGTTCGGTGTGTTCATGGGCTGCTTTATCCTACAGAGTATTGGAAAGAGTAAAGTCAAAATAAGCATAGTTCTTTATGAGAAAAAAACTGACATAAAGGCGACACTGCTTTGGTGAGAAAAATAACGGCCTATATCTGCATGATTGGAGTAAGTAGAGGCTATTAGGTTCTCAAACATTCGCAATAATCGAAATTAAATATGCCGACCGCAGATTCAATAGTTTATATTATTTTCATCGAGGGTACGAAGGTAGGTATTTTATTTTTATTCCAAGTGATTTGATAACTGCACCAAACCTTTCACTAACGTTTAACAGTTTCCCTCATCGCATCCGTATATGCGTGAATGGATAGAGGGGGACTCTAAAATGTGCGAATTGGTGGATGTTTCCGAACGCTGCGACATTGCAGTATTTATGGGACAGAGTCATTACTGCATACGTACGACAATAAACGATAATTGCCGTCTTGTGTGTTGATTGCTTGCTTACCGGCATGTGGGCCCTGACATGCTGAACTTTCA